CTTCTAAAGCCTTGAGATCATCCATTTCTTGGTGGATTTTAAAAATGGCGGTTTCGATCGTCTTCCTCATTTGGCTTCCGAAATTGTAGCTATCGCCATCAAAGCTACCGTGGTAGTTACAGAACCGATCAGAGAATCTTAATGGTGTAGTGATGTAATTGAACTTAGCTAATGTAATTACTGAGATAAGAAAAGCCAAACCAGCTAACACATAGATTGGTCTATTAACTCCATTGAAAGATCTAATCTTCGTTAAAACATTCGTCTTAACCATCCTTTAAGCTCTATACAATCACAAACTCAACACAAAAATCCCCCAAACAAAACAAGAAAAAAACTGAATCTTGAACAACGTTACCAAATATGTAATAACATCAAGAACACAAATGAGAAGCAAAATACTCTAAATCTGGTTGCAGAGGTAAAGTTATGAACTTTATGAACTTATTCAACATAATTAAACTAGAAGCTTTGGATGCACATGGAGATTTCTGAAGTTTTTAAGAAATCCCACGATGGTACAAGGCGAGAACCCAAGAAAAGTTGCAGAATTTAAGGAGGGAAATTAATAAATTAGTATTAAACAAGGAAAATTTAAAAGCTAAGTAATGAGAAAGCCGATTCCTATGGATCCAAAGCATTTGAATCACATTCTTATCAAAACTATTATAATAATTAACAATTTCGTTAAAAAAATTCAATTACCGGAGAGTCACCGGCAACGATGAGCTTCAGATTCACGGCGAAGAAAGAAGACAGAACATTTGTCCGATACAGAAACTGGTAAGGAATCCGATGAAGAAGACGTCCTTTTCTCACTAATCTCCGGTGGGAAATAAATCTTCGCCGGTAAACCAATCGGAGAATTAACCGGAGATATGCGACGGTGGATGTTTTAAGATTTGCAATCGCATATTTATCTCCAGGTCCCTTTATTTACTACTTTTTCTTTTAGTTATTTAGCTGAAGGCCCGAAAACTATTAGTATTCCTTGATTCACTCCTTATACTTTCATACATTTATGCCACCGTACCAAAAAGCCTTGTGATAGTGAAAGATAGGCCCAAGACTTGCCCATACTTTAAACCTACTCGTTTGAAGGTGAAAAGTATGGGAAATTGTTTTTCCCATACTTTACCAAATATATCATGTTCAATGTTTAGCATATAATGAATTTAGAGATAGTGTCAGGCAATTATTTTATAGTAATGAATACTTTAAGAAATATTTTTCAACTGAAACTATAGGTTATTCTAAGTACTAATTTACTCAACTAATTATTGTGAACAATTCTCAGTTTACTGTACTTATGATTCTCCACTTTTAGACCAAAGTCTTTAAATAAAAGAGCAGCACAACGAAACACAATTTCGCCTCTATCGCCTCTATGTTTTCATCAGAGCCGTGCCACATTGACGGATGCCCGAAACGACTAAAAGAATAAGATGTTTCAATTTATATAAAAAAAAAAGACCATCTAGAATAATAAATATTATTGTCATATAGAAA